GGTGACATCATCTGCATTGTTAATTTTGCTAGGTAGATGGCTTCATATTCCTGAAGTTGATGGACAAATCCAGCATTAGGATTAATACAAAATCTTCTTTCTTGCATATAAGCAAATGCAACTCTGTACTTCATCCCAAAGGTTTCCATAATGTACGCAATAACAAAGGCAGCACTTTTGGAGATCCCTGCATTTCCATGGACAAGAACTTTTCCTCCAGTTTGTAAGCTCCCATCAATAAATTCCTTAGTCATAGGGAAAAAACGTATTATATTTTCCACTGGATTATCCGCAATATCCAAGACTAAATATCTAAATAGTTGTTGAAAATTTGGTTTAATAAAGTTTGCTTCAATATTTTGTGGTATGCAAATTACATGAGTTACTCCATGTTTCTGTAGTATAGGTAGCTTGCTTTTCATAGCAGAAGAATATAGGCCTAAGAACAATCCAGGTAAAATTTCCTGCATCTCTCGTCTCATAGGGTAGGTCCACTCCTTGGCGTCGTCCTTGCACTGTGGTAGCGAGGGGGACTCCAGCTTCACGTCCTCCAAGGCCGGGCCCGCGAGCGGGCGGGGTGGGCGGGGGAGCTCCCGCCGGCCCGACCCGCGGCGCCGGCGCCGAAAGGAAGGAAGGCCGGCGGAGCAGAGGGCGGAGGGCTCCCAACTAACACTAGCGGGCCAGGGCGCCCCAGCGACTCCGGTGGCGGCAGCGGCTACGGGGAAGAGGAGGGTTGGGCGGCTGGTGCCCGGCCGCCATGCTGCTGGCGCCTCTCTCACTCCCTCCCTCCCCCCGAGTCTCCGCGCCCCTCAGGCACCTCAAATCTTAATAATCTATTTCTAAGTCTAGCAGTTTCTATGCCAACCTTGAAAGATCTGCCATGTAATCAAATTATCTTAAATGTTTCAAAATGTGTATATAAATCTAATACGTTAAATTTTCTTTTGTGTGGTTAACAAATATTCTCAATTTCTTAAATAATATGGTAAATCTAATAAATTAAGTTACATTCATATTTTCTTAGATGTTCCAATATTATTGAAAAATCTTCCTAAAATTTCAACTTAAAAATCACAAAACTGAAATAATTACTCATTTACACATTTTTCTATTGAAATTACAAGGTTATTCTTCAGACACTGCAAACCATCAAGTTCTATTAAACATTTTAAAGTTTTAAAGTACTTAAAATTCTAATGATATACATATTATTTCTAAATTTTCTTCAAGTTATTCTTCAAGTTAAAGATTCTTACACCAAAAGAACTATTATAGACTATATAAAGAGATCAAAAAAATTAGATCCCCCAAAATAAAAGACCCAATCAAAACACAACCAACTGAAATGAACAAACATTTCTCAGAAGTACAAATGGCCAATAAATACATGAGAAAATAGGGGCTGGGGATTTAGCTCAGTAGTGCCACCACCTGCTTCACAAGCACAAGGTCCTGAGTTCTATCCCCAGTACCAAAAAATATAGATAGATAGATATAGATATAGATATATATGAAAAAAGGTTCAATATCTCTGGCCATTATAGAAATGACAATTAAAACAACACTAGGATTCCAACTAACTCTAGAAAGAATGTCTATCATCAAGAAATCAAATAATAACAAATGCTGGCAAGGCTACAGGGAGGAGGGGCAGATAAAGCCTTCTGCACTATTGGTGGAAATATAAACTAGTACAATCACTATGGAAATCAGTACGGAGATTCCTCGAAAAACTAAAACTAGATATTCCATTTGATTCATTTATCTTCTTCTATTAATCTTCCCCAAAGAGTTAAAGACATCATATTACAGCCATACATGCATATCCATGTTTACAGCAGCACAACTCTTAATTGCTAAATCATGGAAGCTGCCCATATGTCCATCAACAAATGAATGGACAAAGAAAATGTAGGATTTATACACAATGCTATATAGAAAGATAAATCTGAGTCATCTGTAGGAAAATGGATACACCTTGAGACTACAAAAGCTTAATTATCTTATGGTTTGTCGTATATGAGAAACTCAAAGTAAAACTAAATTAAAGAGTAAAATAAAAGATAACAAGAAACAAGGAGCGAGATCTACTGTGAAAGGGAAGGGCAGCAAGAGATGGAGGGAGGGAGGGGAGAGGAAGAGGATGCAAAAAGAATTAGAATGCGTTATGTGCACGCACGAACTCCCCACGATGAACGTAATCATTATGTGTGGCCAAGGTGTGCTAATACAAATTTAAAAATCAACAAAAGAGAAACCAGTATGTTAAGCCACACACTTTTAGAGTTGACTGCCTCATGGAATGTGAAGGATCTAAGGGAGCACTTTCTCAAGGAGCTTAAAATCTGTCCAAATATTACATCCAAAGCTAAAGAAATCCAGGACTATTTCTCTCATCACCTGACTGCTATGTTGAGTCTGTCTTATAGTTTCTATTTCATATACCCCAAAACCAAAAGAGGAACGTGGTGATGACTTAGTCTACACCCTTAGGTTTATGCCCTATCACTAATTTTCAAAATGAATTGAAATTGGCAAGTCCCTCCTAGGTCCCTGTACCACTAACTTGACTTAGCACTTTTTTGCCTCTCAAAATAAGTATTTTCCATCCTGTTCCAATGGGTTTCTTTCTTTTCCTTACCATCTTGTTTGATAGGACCACACAATTCTTACAAAAAATGAAATGATATTTAGTTGAATGGTTTGTCTAAATGTTGTTCATAACTTCAGGGTTATCTTTCTAATTACTGAAAGCCCTTTAGTACCTTGGTTCTGATACAAGAAAGCAATCCAAGTCATGTTCCTGAGCATCAAATGAGGACCTACATCTTTTTTTTTTTTTTTTGCCACATTTAAGCATCTACGTATTTATGGCACTAAATCATCAAAGTTCACCAGAGTCTAAAACCACAGACAGCTTTTCTAGTTAAACATTTGGTGTTTCTAAGAAGCACACAGATTTGTTCCACTGTGAAAAGAATAGGGAGCTTCTTATCAGTAAGTGTCTTCTTATAGGAGGGCTCAGCTAAGGACCCCAGCACATGACCTCACTTCCTTGGCGACAGGTCCAAACAGAACTTGGAGCCCTGTCATCAGGCACCACAGTCTAGCAACAACTGCCTCCCCAGTCAGTTGGCTGAAAACAGTCAGCAGCAAACATGCTGTGCTGCTTTCCCAGGCCTCCTGGTCGCAGCCTCAGGACCCCACACAGGGAAACCACTTGGCAATGAATGAGAGGATGGTTCACTTGGCCCAGAAGCTTCAGGACCCTTGCCAGGAACCGTCCAACAGTCATGGGCAGCACAGGGCAGGTCTCACCAGACCCAGCCCCTAGATGCCCAGAGATAAGAGAGAGCCCAGGACAAGTGTCCCTAGGTTCAGCCACCAGACACTTGGAGCCACTGATACCTGGACAGGTACATTTAGAACTGATCACCACTGTGAGTCGCCCTAAACAACCAACACTTCAGCCTCAGTGTATCGCTGTCATGGCTGGGGGTGGGACAGTGTCCTGAGAGAAGTCCTCCTGGATAGGACCAGGTGTTGGGAGGCCGTGAGCATGGGGTCCTGTCACATTCCTGCCCTGGACAGGGCAGGCAGCAGGAGAAAGGCAGTGCCCAAGTGTTTGTCCCCAGCCTCATTGGCATCTCCTGTCCTCCTGAGGCAGAAGCCTGTGACATGTCTATTGGTTGTGTGGGGAGCACAAGGTTATCTGGAGCAACAACTGCACAAATTATGGTCTATTAATTTCAGATGCCCATTTTTCGATTGGGTCTTTAAATTTGGGAAGTCTGATTCTTTTAAGTTCTTTATAGATTCACGATAGCAGACCTTTGTTTGATGGACCACTGGTGAAAATTTGTTCCCACGTTGTGGGTGGTCTCTTCACACTGTTGGTGGTTTCTCTTGCTGTGCAGAAGCTTTTTAGTAAGAAGAGAATCCACATGTGGATTGTTTGTGGTAGTTCACGGGCAACTGAGGTTTTGTTCATAAAATCTTTTCCTACGCTGTCTTCACGAGTTCTACCTAACCTCTGTTCCAGCCGGTTCAGCGTTTCTGTTTTAATATCTAGACCTTTAATCCATTTCGATTTTAGTTTAGTGCATGGTGAGAGATATAGGTCTAGTTTTAGTCTTTGGCAAGTTGAAACCTATTTCTCCAGCACCATTTATTAAAGAGGCTATCCTTCCTCCAGTGAGGGTGTTTGGTTCCTTTGTCAAAGATGAGGTGGCTGAGTGTGTCTGGAGTTGTTTCGGGATCTTCTAATCTGTTCCACTGGTCCTCAAGTCTGTTTCTTTGCCAGTACCATGCTGTTTTTATCACAGTAGCTTTGTAGTATAGTTTCAAGTT